TTGATGGAATCTGAGAGCTGTCTGACCCTGCATAGACACCAACGCAACTGAAATGTTCCCAAGTCCAGAAACGTAGCAAGGAGATCTGTAAAATAATCCATGTGACATCAGTGGTTCAACCGCAATTATACGAAGCTACGAGAATACTTTCTGTGCGCAAAATAACAACTTTATTCAACAATTCGTCTCCTCCTCATCACCCTGGTGCCATTTTGGAGAATATCCGCTGGACGTAAACAATGTATGCTGTTCTGTGTCAGCTGCTTTATTCTCCAAAATGGCACCAGGGTGATGCGGAGGAGACGAATTGATGAATAAAGTCGTTATTTTAAATATTTTTTAGTATTCTTTTTAGTAGCTTCGTATAATTGCGGTTGAACCCCTGATGTCACATGGATTCTTTTACAGATCTCCTTGCTACGTTTCTGGACTTTTCAGTTGCGTTGGTGTCTATGCAGGGTCAGACAGCTCTCAGATTCCATCAAAAATCTCTTCAATTCTGTTCCTTCACAATTCCTTCTCATTCAGTAATTAATGACAGAATTTTCATTTTTGGGTGAACTATCCCTTTAATAGAATACAGTATACTGATGAAACAAATGTCTAGAACATGTTTCATTCATCCAAACAATTTCTAACATAAAGAAATTATATATTTTTTAATCTTTGTATTATCGTTTTTTTGGCAAGCCTTTCTCTTTAACTTCTGAAGTGCTTGTTTGCTAAAGGACAATCCTGTGTTATTGATCGCCAGCTCTTGTTTATAGAATAATTTGATAATGAGCGCTGGAGAGCCAGCGGAGCGACTGATTACACGATTCATTTTCCTCTTCCCTTCTTTGTACGTCCCCAGTCTCTTGCTCTCCTGGACGAGCCGCCACTGTCTGTCTATGATTAATTCCCATTGTCTCCTCAAGGTTATTGATACAACAAATCCCATTCCGCTCCTCTCATCTCCATGACAACCACACCTTCGCTGTTGCCCCCTCCCTTTCATAACCAATAACCTGGAGAGCCTCAGCATGTGTGTCTGCGCATCGGGAAGAAACACATCCCAGACTCCAGTTTTTGTGTATGCGCCAGGCATCGCTAACACTGTAGCTAATATTCATAACACTGAATGCCTTTGACTCTCAGCACGCAGGTCAAATTGCATTACACGCCGGCAGGTGCTGTAACGACGCAGGGCCACCTCCTTTGTGTTAAATTATAAATATTTACAGGTTTTTCAGGAGAGATCGGTGTATTCTCATGGGTAATAACATGTCAGGCTTGTGGGCGGCCACTAAGGGGAAAATGCACCGAGCGACTGTAAATGTGTTCAATGTGCCGAGGAGTTTCACAAAAGCAGTTCAATTTTAACATGCATTCTTAAGATAAATTCAAGGATCAAAAACGAATGTACCCTTTTTAATCTCAATATATTACAGAAATTAAACGAATCCACACCTGTATTTGATATTCCTAAGGATTACACAATATATCAGAACCATACGAGTAATTAAAAAATATATTTATTTAAGAAATTAATACTTTAATTCAGCAAAGATGCATTCAATTAATCAAAATTGATAAATGATCATTATTCAAATCTATTCATCAAAGAAATTTGAAAAAATGTGTCATGGTTTTCAAAAAAAGCATCACAACTGTTTTCAAGCATTGCTAAAATTAAGAATTGTTTCTTGAGCAGTAAATCAGCATATTAGAATGATTTCTGAAGGATCATGTGACACTGAAGACTGGAGTAATGATGCTGAAAATTCAGTTTTGACCACAGGAATAAAATACATTTTATGATATATTAAAACCGAAAACAGTTGTACAACAATTGTAATAATATTTCAGTTTGATTGTTTTTATTGTATTTTTTTTATTAAATAAATTCAGTCTTGGTGAGCAGAAGAGACTTCTTTCAAAATAAATCTTACTGACCCCAAATTTTTTAATGGTATACCCAGTCAACAATTTGATCTCACAGTGATGTCACCATGAGTTTCCAGGATACTCGCGATGAGGTCACAATGTGAAGTCACAGTGAGCTAAAAAGTGTAACCTCACAGTGCCCTCAATGTGTGCTCATACTAATGTGAGGTCAAAGTGCACTCACTGCAAAGAGACTAGGTAGCCAGCATGCATTGCAGCATGAAGCTTTTGATTGTCGGCATTGTTGAGATTCATACACTGATTCTTGATGTTTCTCTTTGTTTTTAAATGACACAGCAGTTTAAAATGCTTACGACTTATCATGCTTTTGAAATCCTTCATAAATTATTACACTGTTGGATCCTATACTGTATAATCAAAGAGCTATTATAATTAGAGACTTTAGATTAATATCTCCTCACAAAGACGGCATACTGAATCTGGGTGAAGATTGTTAGTTATCATCAATAACAAACCGATATCACCTGGTTGCAGTCTCTTTTTGTAATTCTTGCCATAAAAATGTGCTTTACAAACACAGTTACAACAGCCCAAAAAATATAATGTTATAAAGTCAAGGGTCAAGAGCACAACTAACGCAAACACTAATCACCTTGATGGTAACGTCAAATGAAACAAAACATCATCTAAAGCTCTGTTAATTCTCAATAAGTGCTTTTGCAGATGTCTGACAGAAATAAAGTCAGTCTGATTAATAATGGGTGAAGCTGGTGATGCTGTGTGTGGAGTTAATCATTCTCTGCTGAGATCACGAAAGACTTCATGTCTTTTGTATTTCAGTTGATTTCACTGAAGGCTGTGTCTGGAAGTCAGCTGTATGTTTGGAGAAGGTTCTTATAACAGAAAACTGCTAGCTGAGTGTGCACTCATGAGCTCAGCATGTGAGAGCACTGTGATATCACTGTGATAGTGTTGAGAAACAGGATATAGAAAGCCTCCTTGGTGACTGATATTTGAACTGCCTCCTCTCAACCTGCTCAACATTTTGACTTCACAATGAGCTCACATATTACTCGCACGGTGAGTATCACACTATGAGAATGGTGTGAGGTCACTGTGATCATCGCATGATCTCACGTGTTGACTGGGTATACTGTATCAGATATTAAATTTAGCATATTTATACATTTTGATTACCTTTACCATCCTCTCACCCTCCAAGTTAACATTTATTATATACTAAAATATATAAACTATAATATCCAAGCAATGATCCATTATTTATTTATTTTGATAAATGAAGGAAAATTTAATTGTGACCACTAAATAAACATAAATAAATAATAAAAAATAAAAAAAAAAATACTCCCCTTTTAGGATTTCCATAGTCATGATAAACTACTACTTGTGTGTTAAATATCGTAAAAATAAGTAAATAGAAAAATGTGTTGCTTCAACAGCTACAGCAGAAAGGTGTGTTATTAAATTTAGCATATTTATACATTTTGATTACCTTTACCATCCTCTCACCCTCCAAGTTAACATTTATTATATACTAAAATATATAAACTATAATATCCAAGCAATGATCCATTATTTATTTATTTTGATAAATGAAGGAAAATTTAATTGTGACCACTAAATAAACATAAATAAATAAATAAAAAAATAAAAAAAATACTCCCCTTTTAGGATTTCCATAGTCATGATAAACTACTACTTGTGTGTTAAATATCGTAAAAATAAGTAAATAGAAAAATGTGTTGCTTCAACAGCTACAGCAGAAAGGTGTGTTTGTGTGTGTGTGTCAGTCACCAGCTCCATGCGTCGACGGCTGCTCTCCTGTTCTCTGATGCTCAGGTCATCCATTTCCAGTTTCATATCCGCCAGTCTCTGCTGATAGTATCGGGAGTTCTCCCTCTCCCTGGCCTCGGCCTGGGCCGCCTGCTCCAGCTCCTCACCCAGCCGCACCACACTGTCCCGCAGACGCAGAACCAGCACCTACACACACACACACACACACACCGTAAAGATCCTCTCTGAGAAAGAGTATAAAGCTGTTAATGGGTCTGGACTGACCTCAAATCTCTTGACCTGTCCTCTCTGGAACTCCAATTTGTTCTCTAGATCACAGATACGAGCTTCTTGCTTGCTTACGATGCTGCGGGCCACCGTGGACGACTCTAGAAACTGCACACGTGCTACGCTGGTCTGCAGCTGGGAAGATAAGCACCTCTGAGTTACGACCACGCTTGTGAAACAAAATACAACAATATTTCGACTCCACATTCACAACAGTCTTCCTCAGTGCAAGTTCAAATAAAAACATAACACAAGCAAGTATGTGAGAACAGGATTAGTGTGTCCCTACAGAAGCCCGTTTCCCTCAGCGACTTTCTCACAATTCAGACTTTCTCAGAACTGTGAGTTTATTATTTCACACTTGTAATTTTGAGTTTATAATTTACATTTTGTAATTTTGACTTTTTTTCTCTGAATTCTAAGTTTTCATTTTGCAATTGTTTCTTGATAAAAGTTTTTAATATCACAATTCTCTTTTTTTTCTTCGTCTCGCAATTGTGAGTTTATATCTCATACTTCCAATTTAACTCATAATTGTGATTTTTCACAGAATTTGGAGTCTGGGCCGCCTGCACCTGTTAACTGTCATGGGCCCAACGGTGGGCCCACTTGCCATTACATGTTTTAAACAGTAATATCTTAGTCTGATCCTAAAGTAATCTTGACAAACAATATATATCGCTTGAAAGCTTAAAGACTCCAGTTTTGATATTTGGTGACTGATTTTTGAAATATTTTACAGAGCAACTGTAATTTATCAATATGCAAGAAGAGTACCGATCAGAGTCAGAGAGTGCGTTGTGACCTTTACTTTGAAATAGCGATGCACATATAAAATCATGAAAAATCTGTAAAAATCTTCATTCATTTTCATGGAGAGTGTTCAAAAGACAACTGTCATGGGCCCAACGGTGGGCCCACTTGCCATTACATGTTTTAAACAGTAATATCTTAGTCTGATCCTAAAATAATCTTGACAAACAATATATATCGCTTGAAAGCTTAAAGACTCCAGTTTTGATATTTGGTGACTGATTTTTGAAATATTTTACAGAGCAACTGTAATTTATCAATATGCAAGACGAGTACCGATCAGAGTCAGAGAGTGCGTTGTGACCTTTACATTGAAATAGCGATGCACATATAAAATCATGAAAAATCTGTAAAAATCTTCATTCATTTTCATGGAGAGTGTTCAAAAGACAACATCCATTTTTTTCTTCAGAAAAAAGGTCTTGAATATGAAAAAAACAATAGATTCGCCATTTTTGATGCATCGTGAACTATAACGCAAGTCCAGGGTTATCGTAGCATGTCTTTTATGTGTTTTTTTTGGTTGAATTGAAATCAAATACTGCCATACTGCCCTTAATACTTCTGAATGTGATGTTTACTTCATAAATATTTAGAAAAGTATGGGAAAACATGTTTCAGATCACTGGAACCATGTATGGAAATCAAGGCGCCCTTAAATGGTTACTAATGGGGTTTGATGGTCATCTAGTGGAAAAGCTTGGTACTACGCCCAAACTAAATCTCACTGAAAGCTTATTTTTTGAGATATCAACCTCAAATTTGGAACATAACCTGTTCAGAATTTTGATTTTCTAGAAGTTTTAGAGTAAAACATGTTTAGTAAAATATATAATTTTATAGAAAATATAAATATTTCAATTATTACATTTTATATTTTCATATAACTTTTTTGTTATACAATCTTTATATAACTTTTTTCACTTCTACAATAATCTGCCAAGTGGCTTCTTTAAAAGAGACCAACTTTAAGTCTGTGGTCCAAAGCGTTCAAAATTTATAACAGTTTAAGTTAGAAATGTCATTTTCAGGTCTATGCTCAAAAAGTGGAACCGACAGTTAGCAGGTTAAATTTTTCCTGTGAATCCTGTTTATATTTCACAATTCTGTTTGCTTATTTGTCTGTTTATATTATACAATTCTGACTTTTTCTTGCAATTATGAATTTGCATTTATGTCAATTGTTAGATTAAAAAGTCGCAATTACCTATTAATTTTTTTTATTCAATGGTGGAAACAAACCATTCCATTGTGTCCCAAATCACAATACACTGAAAATAAACTCATTAAAAAGCGTTTTACTTCTGATGGATTTCTTAAGTATTTTGCATTATTTCATGTTACTGCTTAAAAGTAGGAACTTTACTAACAGTAGTACACTGTGAGTCGGCCCATGTTACAGTAGTATGTTCATATGTGCCTGCTCCACGTGTGAATGGACATCTAATGCATCACACATCTATGTCTCAGTGTGTCTGTCTCACCTCCTTCTGTAGGGTCTGTCTCTGTTTCTTCAGCTCCTCCATTTCAGCCTGAAGCTCTCGGATCTGAGAGATATCACTGGAAGACTGGGATAAACAAACATGTCTGGTTGGCTTTGGGATATTTTACATAACCTCACACACATCAGTGTTGGAGTAACTACTTTGAAAATGTTTGTCAAGATAGTTCGAAATATTTAATGAATGGAACTAGAACTTCTCTCATAGTCTGAAACCAAACCATTGGGATCAAACCAAATAAAATCTTACTGGATAATCTTAAATTCATCTTAATTTTTTTTATAGCCATTAACCTCAGTAATGTCAATTTTATATAGTCGATTTTGCTATGAAAAGAAAACATCTAATGATGTTGCCCAAGGACTGGAAACACTATTAAGTGATGACTCAAGTGAAAGGATAAGCCTTTTTTTAACCAGTTGAAATGAAGCATCCATTTAGCAAAATGAATCACCGATTTACTCAAATGAATCAGACTAGAGAGCGAGGACGCTTTAGGAGCGTGTGCAATGCAATATGACAAATGATAGCATTTTGTCACGCTTCCCGACTGTGTGATGGGAAAAAAACAGCTCGTTATTGGAAAAGCTGCACTATTTTGAAAACAGCTCATAACTCCCCGAGAGTGATGTAACTCCAGCAGACCTGAGCGATGAGGGCTTTGTGCTTCTTCATGAGCTCGTTGAGATCCTCCTGGTCTTCCTCCAGCCTCTTCATCAGGTCCGTCCTCTCGTAGCGGAGCTGAGCCAGCTGCTCATCCACCTGAGACAACAGACAGAGACGCACTGAGATAAACCTGGGATCAGCCCTTTGCTCCTTTCACTTCATGTCTCGGGCCTCACCAGGCTCTTCTGCTTGCAGATGCTCTCTAGTTCGATCTGAGCATTTTCTAGCTCTGCAGCCAGAGTCTTCTGTGTGCTTTCTGACTCCAAGCGTCTGGCTTCACTGTCCTCCAGCTAAAATACACAAAGACAAATGTCAAATAAAGGGAACTACGAAATATAGACCACTAATGGCTGTTGGACAAAACAAAACATTGCAAAATTTGTAATGACAAAACAATCTATGCAAACATACACTACTGTCCAAAAATTTGGAATAATTAAGTTCTTGAAAGAAGTCTCTTCTGCTCAGCAAGGCTGCATTCATTTGATAAATAAATAATACAGTAAAAACAAGGAGTATTGCTAAATATTATTACAATTTAAAATAACTGGTTTCTATTTGAATATTTTTTAAAATGTAATTTATTCCTGTGATGCAAAGCTGAATTTTCAGCATCATTAGTCCAGTCTTCAGTGTCACATGATCAGAAATCATTCTAAAATGCTGATTTGCTGCTTAAGAGACATTTGTTGTTATCAGTGTTGAAAACCTATTATTATTATTATTTTTATTTTGGGCCAGTTTAAACCATCTACGACCAGCAAACCATCTTAGGCTGTTTTAGGCAGGTGTTTTTCATCAGGGAAACGCTAGCACTGTTTTAATCCATCTCTAAACTGTGTTCTAATTGGTCGGTTGTGTATTAACCTTAACTGTCAATCAACCAGTAAAGCAATAAAGGTGATTTGACCCAGTAATCTTCAAAAAAATAAACATAGGCCAAATTGAATCAAGTAATCAGACATCACAGCTGTTTAAGGGACATGTCTGACATGATAATGAAGCTATAAGGATTTATGAAACCTAGGGCATTTCTACACTTTTGGAGGGCACTGTACACAAGCACTTTTTTTGTTTAAATACTGTTAAAGGTTAGTTGAAATTTGTATTTCATAATTTTAAGTGACACTTAATAGTTAAAGATGCTTTCCTAACTGTGCTAGGGTTGTGTGAGATGAACCTTGATTAACTGCATTTAGAAAATATTTATAAAATTTGTTTTAATTATTTAATTTTGGCTTTTTAATGGATGATTGAGATATACAGAAACCAGAATGGTCAATAGCCAATATAATGGCTAAATATTTGTATTTTTTAAATAATATAATATAATATATAATATAATATAATATAATTATACTGATATCGATACCGATAATCGGTACTGATACCGATAATATAATATAATAATACCGCTATCGATACCGATAATCGTACCGATACCGATAATGCAAAGCTGTTTAAATCTGTGCGTGTGAGTCGTGCTGTGTGGCTGATGGGCTGGCAGTGGCACCTGGCAGCACAGTCTCTCCAGCTGCTCCTTGGCACCGGGGTCGTGACCCTGCCCGGGCTGTTCAACGGTGGACAGCAGCAGCTGGGCATCACTGAGCAGGGCATGTGTGCGCTTCAGATCCCGCCTCAGCCTCTTCTCCACGTCAAAGTCTCTGTGGCCCACCTGAGACCAGAGAGAGAGATCTATACATTACACTGAAGCGCAAACAGAAAGCCTTTACACTCACATCACGAGAGAGAGAGACGGCCATTTCTGGATAACGGTGGTGACTTTTACACCATAGGAATTGAATAATGATGCTGGACACGTGAACACAGAGACATTTAAACTCCTGCCTGTGGACAACTGAGTAAATCCCAGAAGCTCAATAAATCATTATGGCTTCAAATATGAGCTGATTTGTGAGGAATGTGAATCTCAAATTAGTGCCCGACAGATGTGAGCTTTTTAAGGGCCAATATACATGTACAGAAATCAGGATGGTCAATAGCCATAATAATATTATATTATAAACATATAATTAATATAATATAATATTACATAATTTAACATAATACAATATAATATAAAGAAGACAGACATCATCATTTACTATAAGGCCAGCAACATGATTCATTACATTTACTAAATATTATAAGAAAACAATTAAACTTTCTTATATTATATTATATTATATTATATTATAAACAAGATTACCAGGACGGACATCATCATACACAATAAGATCAGCAACACGTATTAAAAACACAATTATATTATATTATATTATATTATATTATATATGAGAACAGCAACATGATTCATTAAATTTATTAAATGGCTATAATTACTAAATATTATATTAATGAAACATCTATTCTATTCTATTCTACATAATATAATGTATTAATATTAGATGCAGAGAGAAATATCATCATGCACAACAAGTCCAGCAATATGTAATAAAAACATTATTCGTTAAATTTCATGAATGGCTAGAACATTACTTGAAATCTCAAGTAATGCTCAAAGAAATAATTGATATGGTTGGTAAGGTTGGGTTGGCAGTGAAAGCACATGCTTTGGAAACTTCAACACATGAAAACCAGGCGTTTTATACATCCTCTTACTCAATACCAAACTCATTTTGAGCAGCAGTGTTTACGTGCAGCTCGGGTCATAAACCGGGGTCGTTTTTAACAGCAGCAGATGAGTAGCTTCATCATATCGATCTCTGTAGTGATCACGCTTCCAGAGCACAGTCACATTAGAGAGCTCATGACGGCCCGAGGGCAGGACGTTCAGGTCGAATGCGTGTAGAGTATCTCTAAAGGACCCTCTCAGCGTAGCCACAAGCTGTTAGCTAAGTTTAGCACAGGGCACACGAGCGAGAGCATGTCTAATGGTAAAAAGATCCTCTATAACCACTAAATGTAACAGTGTACAAACTAATATAGTTCCAGCAAACATGCCAAAAGCATTATGTAAAGACTGTATAAATGTTATGAACATAAAACAATGTTAATGGAATGCCCTTATGATATTTATAGCTGATAAAAGTTCTCACAATGTTCAAACATTATAGTTTTATGTCTGATATGTTCTGAATGCTGTTAAAAGAACATCCTTCTAAATAAAGGAACTTGAAAATAAAGGATAATAATAAGGAACTATAAAAGGAACTTATTTCAAAGTTTCCAATAATTTTCCTCATGTTCAAATAATGTGGATAAAGCAGTATTTTGTCATTTCAATAATAAATTAACAATTTGAATGTTGACATCGTTAGAGCATAATCTTCCAAAAAACAAAAACAAAACCAAATTTTTATATTTTAGAATTATTAATAATGAAAAACAACATATATATATATATATATATATATATATATAAATTAAGGCCAGTGAAACAAATATTTATACAAGTATTTTAAGTTTAATATATATATACACAGTGTATATATACAGTGTATATACAGTGTATATATATATATATATATAATGACTTTCCTTTTGGCCTGATGTCATCAATCCCTCATAGTTTTTGACCCTGTCCCACTTTTTAGCATCCAGTCACTTGCCGAAGGATAAAACCAAGCACTGCCCTACAGATTTTTCTCTGAAGTATGTCACCTTTTACAAGTAAAATGGGGTAAATAATATAATTTCATGTTGACGTTAAGCTGTTAATACAAATGAAGTTGAGAATGTTTGCTGAGCTTTAATATTCCCACAAACAAACTGTAATGAAGAGCACTGACAGATGAGGGAAGACCTGGGCAGTCTGTAGTGCTCTTATATCAGAACAGAGAGGAACATGACATCTTTACAAATCCTCATAAGCCCTGATGTGACTATAACTCTGTGATCTATCAAGCAGCGCGTCTAACCAAATGACCCACATACTGTATTTAATAAATATCATGCCTGGAATGCTATACAAATTACAGAGGTTGTTAACAGTGTGTGCAAGCAAATGTTTCAAATCTTGCTATCTATGATAATAAAATTGTATATAATATATATATTTAATTATATTAATTTAATTATACAATTTTTATAGGGGTTTTTGTGTGTGTGTGTGTGTGTTACCTGTTCACACAGTGTGGCAATCAGCCCCTCTAAGTCATGCTTCTCATGAACCACCATCTGTTTTTCCTCATATTCCTGTTCCAGTTGCATCTCCAGCTGTCGGAGCTGCACACACACAAACACACACAGAGACAGACAGGAAAGGATGTTTGAGGCAGGGTTGTAAGGTGGTCTGTCGAGCTGTAATTCATTCTGCGTCCCTTACCCGTCTTTGTGAGGATTTTTGCACGTCCTCCAGTTCCTCGTCCTTGTCCTCCAGCTCCTTCTGATGGATCTGCTTCATCCTCTCCATCTCCATCTCAAAGCGAAGGTGCGTCTGTGCAGAACAGAGTTCAGATGGCCTGTTTGTGTTATTGCATCTTTAAGACTTATGCAAATGTGGGCGGTCACATGTTAATGTGCTTATGGTTATTATGTCATAACCTTTTCAATAGGTCAAATGTTCTTGCATTACTTTACCTGCTCCTGCTGTTTGATTCTGGCAGTCATCTGGCTGATCTCGTCTGAGCGCTCCTTGTCTCTGGTCTCCAGCTCACGGAGCTTCTTCTTCAGTTCAGGGATGGAGTCGGAGGTGAGGTGGTGCGGAACGCTCAGGTCACGGATCTGAGCACACAGTTCCTCCTTCTGCTGCTGCAGGTGCGTGACCTCCACCTGACTCTCCTGAAACACACAAACATAATCATACACACATCATGTAAACGTAAATACACAAAAAACATCAATTGCATAATATGCAGGAGCAAAAACACATACAAGACAAACACACACACAAAATCATACAAACAAATAAAATACAAACAACATCAACACAAACAACACACATAAACATGCATGCTTATACACATATATACATACACAAACAATTATACAAACAAGCTTATCATAAACAAAAGCTCAAAAGCAAACATACACATAAAAATGGCACAAACAAACACAATAATGCACACATCATACAAACAAGCACAAATGCAAAAACACACAACAATAATAAACAAACTTAAAAGCAAATACACACAAAAAATGCAAACAAATCATATGAATAGGCCTATTCAAACATAAAAATACAAAGAATGGCAGAAACACACAAACATGTGCGTAAAAAAAACAGACACATACAGATAGTCACAAACACAAAAATACAAACCATGACAAATAAACAAACACGCTCGCATATATGCATGCAAACTTACACAAAAAATATACAAACAATCACAATGCAAAAACACACAAAACAATAAACTTGAAAGCAAATACACACAACAATGCACAAAAAAAACAATCACAGACGCATAAACGCACAGTAATCACCACACCAAGTCACAAACACATAAAAATACACACAACAACAACAAATAAACACACATAATAAATGCATAAAAACACAAATTCACATACACACACAAAAACACAATTATGCAAACAAGCGCAAATGCATAAACACACAAAACAATCAAACATACACACACACACACACAAAAGCAAACACACAAAATATATTGCACAAACACACAATTAACAAAAAACATAGATACATACAACAGACAAACATGCATGCACATACAGTACACAAACACACAAAAGCAAATGCACCCATGCAAAAATTGCACAATGATGCAAAAATACAATCACAGACACATAACCATACATAAACACATACCTATACACATGTATACAAACACCCAATTATACAAACAAGCACAAACAGTACGCATAAACACAACAGCATATACACTCACACTCACACACAATGCACAAAAACAAACAATTACAATCACAAACACACACCACCAAAAACCACATACAGTCATTCGAACAGAAAAAACACATTATATTCAAATACAAGAATGCATAATGTAGATATAAATGTGTGCATGTGTATTGCCCATGTATTGACCACTGACATCTATCAAAGCAGTATAAACTTGACACATTCATTTATTTTCCTATAATGACACTGTGAAGTTATATAATCTGATGAACTCAAAGCAGAACTTTTCTCCTCTGCATATTTGGGATCTCTGGGGACTCGTTCAGTTTACCGACAGAGGACACCCGGAGTACGCGGGCACGATCACAGATGGTGGACACTTGACCTTTGACCTCGGCCCGTACCTTGAGCGTCTTGCGAAGGGTGAAGATCTCTGCACCGAGGGCGGTATTCTCCTGGATGGCTCTCTCCTTCTGCTCCCTCTCATTATCAGCCTGTTCCAGCGCCTGGGTCAGTTCGCTGTCAAACCTACACACACACACATGTCATATGACAGAGATTAGCACTTCATGAGCCGATCACAAGCGAGTTTGTGTTAATATGCTTTCACTGATGAGAATTCATAACCAGACTCCATCCATCACTGTGAACACCGACTGCTAGAAAATTAGATTTTGAGATTTCTGATCTGACAGTATCATTTCATATGTGGCTCAGGGGGCACGGCATACACATATACCTTGGTCTCCAGGTTGTCTGCAGTCTGACGCAGCTCACTAGATAGATAGATAGATAGATAGATAGAGACAGGTGATAGACAGACGGATAGACAGATAGATAGATGGATAGATGGACAGATGGACAGATGGATAGATGGATAGATGAACAGATGGACAGATGGATAGACGGATAGATAGACAGATAGATAGACGGACAGATAGATAGAAAGAGAGATAGATAGAAACAGACAGGTGACAGACAGACAGACAGACAGACAGACAGACATACAGACAGGCAGACAAAGACAGATAGACAGAGACAGACAAACAGATGGATAGACGGATAGATAGATAGATAGCTAGATAGATAGATAGATAGAT